CATATTATCCAAATATTTAATTTTAGCTAAAATCTTTCTTTTGGACCCACAAATGTATTGTCACTCATAGCTAATTAACAAATATATAGATAGCTCATAATATTTTTCATTTAGTAATCTGGTATCTCCTCACAGTTAAACTCAAAGCACCAAAAAGTATATTTCAAGCATTAGCACTTGTATTTCTGTGGTCTGAACAAACAAAAGGAAAATGTTCATTTATCTTTAAATGAGGTCCTACCACTACTTGTGTCAGTTGAGACAATGTTTAGTGAAAGGACTTAGTGTCAAGGGACATCTTTTCCTCTTCCCTCCTAATCAGTTTTCATACCTACAAGTTATAATATGAATTGTTCACTGAGGGAAAAGACCTTCTTAAATAAAAGTATCAGATATTCTCAAACATGACTGAACAGTGCATGGCTTTCTGTTTATTAGCCATTGTGCCAAGTTAGTGTCTTGAAACCAAAAGCAGAAACCAACTTGATGCAGAAGACTAAACTGTTAGGAGAGTATCACCCTTTTGGCAGAATTGATGGGAAAGCAAACAACCATGCCAGAAAGTAAGCGAGAACCAAGAGGAGCAAGGTGGCAGAATTTCAGCCCAGTCCCTGCAGAGTCTGGTTGGAACACACTGCTGCCCTTGGCCTTGCTGTAACAGGACATGTGATGTTGCACTGTTAACTGCCACTAGTTGGCAAGTATCTTTGCCACCAGAATGGATTCTGAATGTTCTTGATTGGTTTGTTACTCTCTTTAGTTTGAGGTTCCAGGCTGGAGCATCTGCTTGCTGAGCTGGAACAGAGAAGATCTGCCACTCTCCTGCTACTGTGGCAGGAATCTAGGCCCCATACCCAATAATCTCAGGACAAAAACAGGAAAGATTAGGTGCTAGGGAGTCCCAGTTGATAAATACATATGACTTATAAGGGTCATAAAGATTTAGAATTATTTAATTAGTTGATGTATTTAAAATGAAATGAGAGTGGTTGTTCTAAGCATATCTTCTAAGGGCCAATGAAGAAGGGAAAAAGCAAGTATATTTGTAAGAAAAAATAGCACTGATTGGATTTTGGTAGGTGGCAGTGGGTATTTGGGGGAGCGTAGGGGAACCTGGTGAAGGAAAGGGGGAAATAAAAAATGGTACTCAGTTTTCCTGTTTGGGGGCTTGAGTTAAAGGAAGTATTCATTATTGAGATGGGAACTACAAGAAATATCATAGGAATTGGGGATCACAAGTGTTGGGAATGGAGATATGATCTTCCTTTTGAGTGTGTTCTGTTCATTGTATCTGAAGGACATTCAAAAGAGGAAACATACAGCTCATAGATGAAGTTTTGGATATATAGTCTTGAAACTGTACTAAATATAGAGAATTATAAGTCACAGCCATGTTGATAGGAATTTAATCCTCAGAACTAAATGTGATTGCCCAGGGAGCTCTGTAAAGTGAGAAAAGAGCAGGATTTAGAACATAACCCATCATGGCTGTTTAAGAAACAGGAAAAGGTAGAGGAGCCCATAAAGGAAGCTGAGAAAGTTTGACCCAAGTTATAGGAAGAAATGTAAGATAATACTTATTTTCTTTATGGTGACTTCATAAATTATGTATTCTGTCTAGGACAGTGGTTTTTCACATCTTAGTATCAAAATCACCTGGAATGCTTGCTAAAATTTGGTTTCTTGTATCCACTCTTAGAGATTCCTGTATAGCAAGTGCAGAGTGGTAGCCCTTTCTGCATTTTTAGCAGGCATTCAAGATAAGTGATTTCTTGAAATATACTTTGGGAAACACCTCTCTAGAAAACCATGTGAAATGGTTAGTATCATAGTTGCTTAGAGTCCTAGTTCTTACCACTTAACCATTTGTGTGACTATAAGTTGGTTAAGTTAAGGTTTGTTTTCCCATAAGTATTTGGGATATAATATATACCTTCTGTTACAAGGCACATATGAGATGTATTATATTAAGATCCTGACATATGAAAGGAGCTTGGTAAATGTGCGTTGTCTTTTTGGAAGCTTAAAAAATCCAGAATGCAGCTGTAAACCTAAAAGACAGTGGACAAGTAGAAGGAAATCTTTTGTCAATAGCCTCGTGTATTATGTTTTGGAGGAGATTGGAGCCAACTGGTTTTACGTTGGAACATACTGAATTAGAATTATGTAAAATTAAGTTACTGACGTAATGGATTTCATTCTAGTTTCTCCTGGCAGCCTCCAGCTCTGTAGACATTGAGCTTGAGCAATAGGATAGAGGCAAGGTTGAAATGTGAAGTAGAAGCCAAGGAAAATTTAATAGGGGGGCCAACAGCTCAAACATCTGGCAGACATCAGTGTGTTATAGCATACTATAAAAACTAATACTCAAAATGATACTGCTAGATTGTCAAGGAAACATTCAATTACATTTAAAACACATTTTTTTGAGAAGCTAAGGAAGTATATATTTTAGAAAGACTTCCATCACAATGACTAAAACTTTTAAAAGTTTTGGCACTTAAGGGAATAAGCTTCTGCTGTGTGTGAAGTTCACTAAGATAAATTATTTTATTAGTCTTTCACAGTTATAGGTAAATGAACCTAGATACCTTCTTTCCTATTCAGTTGGCATTTAACTGGTTTTAACAATCTGTGTCAAATCAACAGATGTTCTTGAAACAGTCTCAGAAAATCCCTTGGAACTAACCTGTATATATAAATTTTTGTGGATAATCATATAATGTTGAAGTTTTCTCTGCCCAGAAGTGAAGCTGATGTGAGGGAGAAGAGCAGGTCTTATTATAGCCATGTCTCCCATTTTATGCCTTGAACTTCTTGTACCATGTTGACTAATGGGAAATATGGCTACTTTATGTTTTTTTATTTTTATTTTTTCACATTTGCATACTGTATGCTTTTTCATAGTTTTATTGGTGCAATATAATAATACATAATGGTGGGATTTTTTGCTTTGTATTCATACATGCATATGCTATAACAGTATAATTTGGCCAATCTCATTCCCCAATACTTCCCCTTTCACTACCTTCCTGCCTCTTTCTTCTACTCTACTGATCTCCCTTCTATTTTAATGAGATTCCCTCCCCCATTTTTCTCGTCCTTTTTCCTCTCTACCTTACACATATGAGAAAAAACATAGGACCCTTGACTCTCTAAGCTACTTTATGATTATGCTTTTACAAATCTATTGAGGAAGAGTTAGGAATTTCCTTCTGTTTAACCTTTCTGGTCCCACACCCTACCCCACTTGGCTGTTCATATGATTCTTTATCCCCAATCAAGCAAGTAGGTTTAAGTATTAGTTTCTTTTTTATTACTTTCACTTGGTTAAACAACATCATCTTTTGTTCTGCAGACTTGGGTCTGTCTTTGGCAGAATGAAGTTTTCTTCTGTTACATCTGATTATTGGCACTGTTTTGTTACTCATCTTCCAGAACACTCTTTTTCCTTATGTTGTATTTTTGTCAGTCCTCCATGTCTATCATATTACCTTTTCTCCCTGTCCTCTTTTACTTGTTTTCCTATAGGCTAAGTGAGATTTTCAAGGTATACATGATCTAGTTTTCAGCAATGTCAATCTTACTTTTTATCACTCCACTTCTAATACATCATTTATTTATCTACTGCATTTTCCAATTCCTTTATATAGTTTTTCCCTTGCTTTGCTGACTTCACTTCAATCTCTACCTGTCTCAGCCCTTTTTATTTATGTTATGTCACTTCATCTTTTATCTCTTTTGTAACTTGTATGTGAATTTTTTCTTTTATAAAAGATGTAAAGCAAGTGAGGGGAGGATAGGACTGTGGGGATGGGAAGGACAGTAGAATGAGACAGACATTATTACCCTATATACATGTGTGATTACACTACTGGAGTGACTCTGCACCATGCACAGCCAGAGGAATGAGAATTGTGCTCCATTTGTGTACAGTATGTCAAAATGCATTGTACTGTAAAATAAAAAACAAACAAAAAAACCCCAAAAGAAACAAACATGTTAAACAATGGCTAAAGTTTACTTTGATTCTCCTACTTTATTTATAATTTCTACATCTCAAAATCTTACATTTTTTTGTATTATATCTTTCTGACACCTGTCTGCTAGTTTGCTTTTCTTCTTTTACCTATCCTGGGACAATGGCCTATCTGTATAATCTGTAATGTTTATAATAAATAGCATTCATGGTCTCTCTCTGGTTCTCCTCTTAGACTTTAATGGAAGATCTGCTGCATGGCCCTATAATGTGTTCCTGGGAATTTTGTATAAGGTGTATCTGCTAGTATAAATCAGGGTCACCTGATTCTATTGCTTCCTAAAAATCTAGTGCAGGAAGGTCTCCTGTTCCCCGTGGCTTTTCTAAACTCAGTCTTAGCATTGACTGGTTAATAAATCTCAATTTTTGTTATGACTTATAAACTTTTCTACCCTTCTCCAGCCAACTATTTTGTTTTCACATTATAGCTTTTTTGTAATTAGTTTTGTTTTGCTTTGCATTTAAAATTTAGAGCTACATTTGTACCAAGTTTTGTTTTTTAAGAAAATATATTTTGTTTTGATGATGATGGTGGGAAGAGGTTGGTAACAGGAGGTAATGGTTAATGAAACCCAGAAAGTTTCAACTAGACAAGTTTTCAATTGACTTTCTAAATCTGAAAGAGCCAGAGTTGGTAGTGGGTTTGTCTAGCAAGTTCTAAATTCTAGTTCTTATATATTCCCTATATACAAGGGTCTTATATCCACACTTCATGAACAAGACCACAATCCCTGGTTCCCATAGATATCCTTTTTAGATGCAACTGTCTCCAGTATATCTGTATTTTAGAATTAAAAATGATATGTAGAAATGTTATTTAAGCATTACATTACTAAAACATTATGACCAAAATTACTCTTTTCTAAGAATTGACAAAGAAAATCTATATAAAAGAAAATTGACTAAACATTTATATTTGCTGTAGTAAGTAAAATTCTAACTGTGGTTTTATCTTCAACAGACAAACAACAGAAAGGTGAATTTGCAATAGATGGCTATGATGTCAGAATGAATAACACCCTTAGGAAGGATGCAAAGAAAGATTGCTGCTTTGAAATCTCTGCTCCTGATAAACGGATCTATCAGGTTGGAGTTTTTATGTTGCCTTGAAATTAAGTTGATAAGATGTTCTGGTTTCATTTATAGAGACATTAACAGTTTGTTAAAACAGCACTCACTGACATGTTAGTAATAATACAAAAATACTGGTTTTTGTACATTGGACATTCATATAAGAGAAAATACATTTTTAAAAAATTCAGATTACTTCAAGTGATATCTTCTTGAAAAGGATGAAGTGAATATATAATTTATCAATTGCTTTACATGTAGCATTTTATATCTATTTTAATAGAGCTGTATGATTTCCTAAAAGAATTACATAGCAGAAAGAGTGAAATTATCAAAGGAAAAATATTAGAGTGGTAATGCATATTGTATTGCTTAGGGGTGTGGGAGAAAATGAAGATAAAGACACGTATCAGCTCTGCAATTCAAGAGCTATCAGCTAGGCATCAATATGGAATGTATGTTTAATAAGTTTTAAATATCTGAGATTGCAGTTGAAAGCCAGTTAATTAAGTTGTCAGGTAGTGTGTTGGAATCTGACAAGAACATTTTTAAGAAAACTATACCCAGCAGTCTAAAGAAATTCATGGGTGTCTTCTAATTGTCAAGGGCAAATTTTGTTCATCAGTTCTGTCTTTGACATTGATGAAGAGAAGCAGCTTTTTTTCCTGCACAGCTGCCAGCTGCTGATCAGAGTTTCAAATCCATCATCCTCTGCTTCAATTACGTAAATTTGTCAAAATTAACTGTACATTATAAGAAGCATCCTTGCAAGAAAAGTACCACTAGACATGAAAAGAATTACTAATGGTCTTAAAGAAATGATAAGAATTCRACATACTTTTCATTTCTACGGTGGTGATTTGTGTTCTTATTGTTTGTTCTTTTATTAGTTTACAGCAGCTTCTCCCAAAGATGCTGAGGAATGGGTACAGCAGCTGAAATTTGTATTACAAGGTAAGAGCATCAGTTGAACATGTAATCCTGGTCTTAAAATACTAAAAAACTGAGTAGTTTTGGTTTTCATATACAAAAGCTTATTGACTTCAATGAGAATTATAAAGGGAACATGACTGGTTTAATATATAGACTATTTGCTTTAGATATATAAAAGCATCTTTTCCATAAGTGCCAGTTGGCAACTTTAAAATCACATATGTACAAAATGATCAACTTGAAAAATGTTTTAAATGAAGAAGAGTATGCATAAAATATTACTGTCACTTTTTAGGATTGTGCTTATTTAGGAAATTTAATTTATAAAGCCTCTTTTGCATCCCTTTAAAATTTGCTTCGTGAAACATTTTTTAGATATGGAATCTGATATTATTCCTGAGGACTATGATGAAAAAGGAGAATTATATGATGACGTTGAGCATGCTCTACCAATCAGCAACCCACCAACAAGTGGGCAACCAATAGACGATGAAATTTATGAGGAACTTCCAGGTATTTATTATCTGGTGATTCATTTAAGATATTTGGGCTTTTTTTGCACATGCGTGTGTGTGTGTGTGTGTGTGTGTGTGTGTGTGTGTGTGTGTGTGTGTAATTTGTCATCTAGTTGACACTTGAGTAGAAAATGGTAAGCTATTAGGAACAAGGACAAAGAAAATCTTCAAAACCCTATTTTACATAAAGGGTTCTGCTTGAGGTATTTCAAGCGAGTGGATGTTCGATTACAAAAAGTGAATGGAACATTAAAATGAAGCAGATACAGTCCTAATCTCTTGGGACTTTTGGCTCATTAGCATTGTTTATGCTACATAATTTTTTAATTAAAAAATTGACTTGCCTTACAGTTTTTTCCACCGACTCACACATCATTTTTTATTTATACATCTTGGAACTTCCATTAACCAGAAGTTCCATGCACACCCCATATGTCATCAACTTCTGCCTCTTCTTCCTCCTTGCTGTTGTGTGTCCCATTGTTTTGGAGGAATGCTGATGAGCTATAAACACAGGCCTTTTGAGTCTTCTTTACTGATATTTTAGCATCAATATGAAATGAAAGCTTTCTTACTGTAAATTCTCAGGCCTGGTATAGTTAGTGTTCAGATGCCTCAGTATCTGTTGCGTGACACAGAATGACCTATTGGCTAATCCACTTACGATTTTGAGAATCAACCTAAAACAGAAAAGATAGGCATCTGAAATTTAGGATTATTAGGATATAACAACATTTGGGGAATTTATTAGCATTAACCCTCTAAGTTGAAATGCCTTTTTCTGACCATTGAAAAGTCAGTAGTAGAGAAGAAAAAGGGATCATAAGCAAAAGGTGAGATTTAACTAATATCTCATGTAGAGAAGCTATTTTTCTCTTGACTAGAACAATTGAATGACATGATATACACCTTTTAAATTGATTTGAAAATTACTTAAGATGTTCTGAATTAACGTACAAGTGGCATTGCAACACAGTCAGTAAAATCCTAATAGCAAGATCATGGACTTTAGAGTAAAAAAATTTAAATTCTGGGCTGTATCATTTATTGGTTCAATGATCTTATAAGTTAATTTCTTCACCTATAAAATGGGGATAATATCATTGGGAGGCATAAGTGTAATTTAGTACAGTGCTTGAATATTTCTATATTTGGTGGAGCTTTTCATTATAGCTCTCCCTTTCTGGTCATCCTAAGGAAATGACATCTGCCATGGCATCAGTTACCTTATGTAGCAAAGAATATTCTTTGGCTGTTTATTTTTAGTCACACAATTTCATTAATAGTTATTTTAGTCTTCAAAATATTTGAGAGAACTCATGAGATAGGTAAAATGGAAGAGTGTAGTACCTTCGAACATGATATTACTGTCATATACATTCCATCCCTTTAAAGCCTATGGTCACTGTATTATAATTATTGAATTAACTGTAAAATTCTATGATTCTTCAACTTGACTATTCTCTCCCTACTACCTGAAGAAAAAAAAAATCCATCAAGAATAAAGATCAACTATTCATAGTTTTTTTTCCATAATAAAGACCTAGGAAGATCTCTAAGTAGCTTAAAATATAAAACTATGAAACATCTTCTCTAACAACAGCTGTTCTTTCTCATTCTTTTTTGGCCTAAGGCCACATAATTGTTGGAAATAACTGGTTACTCTAAGTAGTGTTACTTCTTGCTGTGGTACTGGGGGAAATTTAAGCTGCTCTGGGATTTCTTTGCCCCTGGCTGGGATCCCCAGTTGCTGTACAAAGTGATTGAGCTTGATAGAGCCTGCAACTGTGCCCCTGGGAAGGGAGCTCTTGGAGGCAGCTGTGGAATGTCTGGTGCTTCTTTCTTCCCCAGTGTAACCCAGAGCCACTTCAACATCTGCACAATTCAGCGTGTTTGTCAAGCCTGAGCCAGCCGCTACAGAGGGGATTTTTTTTTGTAGGGAAGCCCCTAAAGTTATTTCACAGTTAAGAGTTTTTGTTTATTTAAATATCTACAACTAGGAAAGTAACTTTTTTTAATTAAAAAAAAATTCTTTCAGGATAAGAATGAACTTACTGCTTTCATTTCTATGAAGTTTTAATTTAATTTTGAGGCAAAGGTGATAAGAACTGTAAAAATAGAAAAGCATGGAGCCCATGGACAAACTGTTGATATTTTTCCAGTTCTGTACAAAGATCTATGTATCTGTGAAGTCTCACTAGTTCAGTTCCCAGAATTAAATACTACTACCATTTCAACACAATTTTCTGTCAATTTCATATTATTGAAAACTTATCCTCTTAGTTGAAAGACGAGGCCTACAGATGTATTGGAAGAAAAATCTAAGCAGTCAACATGGTACTTTAAATGATAAAGCTCTTTTTCTGGGAAAGTCAAATCTTACTTTAATAAGTGTATTTTTWAAAAAATGAAGTAAACCTTCAGTGTTTAAGTCTCAAGAGTAAGAAGAAGAAAACATTGTTTAAAAAATTGTATTGCAAAATATCCCTTGAAAAATGTCTATAATTCCACGGGAGTGTAAATAGTTTCATTGTAATTGTTTTTCAGTTAGAATATTCTAACTTTATTACAGCACCTTCACTTTAATTTCTTATTCATTAATTTTTAACTAACTTCATAAAAGAATAAAAATAAATTCTGGATTTCTTTGTGCTTAGGGAATTTATATATATGGCAGAAGGGTTGAGGAAATGGTATTTCTGGGGAGTGGTGAAGGTATTTGGCTTTTCTTCAAAGACCCCAATCAATGCTTTGGCATCTTTTATGTTTTATTACTTATTAGCATAAGCCAATTGGGTTTGTATGTATTGTGATATCACTATATTTTTGATTGCACAGCTAATATATTGGTGTGTGTTAAATTATTTTGTAACACAGTAATGAGTTCATTTGGCTTAGCATTTCACAATTTATTGCTCATTTTTTCATCAAAACTATAGAGAAGCATTTTTGTCTGATTTTTAATTCTGAAAATGGGAAGAAATACTTGGGAAATTGTTACAGAAATCAGTCCAGCTTGTTCTTCTAGTGACTGTGTCACTGGATTCCCCCCGCCCCCTGCCACCACTATAACACATACACTTTAATGGCAAGTAATTGTGTAGAAACACCACCAACAAAAAGATTTTTCTAGACAGAGGTGGAATAGAATCATCCTGGTAACAAGAGTAGTAACCACCCATTAGCCTATTAAATCTACAGTTTTCAGGGGAATTGCACTTGAAATGTTTTCTGGCACAGTGGGCTGGAGGAGAGAGGGCAGCAGRAAGCAGGAAGACAAATTTCTATTCCATTAACCTATTTTTTTTAAGTGTGAATTCATTTTTTTATTGCAATGACAGATTGAACTATCTGAGCTAGAAAAGAATGTTTTTATCCTTTGGTTATTCAATTACACTTAAATATATTCAGTCCAGTCATATGTATCTAAAATGGAATAAAAAGTAAAATGCAGCTATAGCTTTTTTTCAATGAAACTATTATATGTACATGAAAAAGAATAGTGTTTGGGTAACTTAAATTTGAAGTAATTTCCAGCAGGTGGGCACAAATGCAAATTTAATCAGAATGGTTACAAAGCCTCAAAATATATTTTAGCTTTATTTTCCTCCTGAATAATTATCATTCACATTACCAAGTAGATGTCAAGGTAATAGGGATCTGGTATCCGGTATTAACATTGTTATGATAGTAGGTTCTAACTTCACCAGTTTTTCTCATTCCTTTTTTGGGATACAATGGAAATTGTCAGTTAACCTTCACAGAAACACATATATTCAACATTTTAATATTGTTAATACAGGTAGCCTGCCAGCATTTTTTCTCAAACAATGGTTCTGAATTATAGTTATTATGGTGATATTGTATCCAGATATATAGTGTGGTAAATATTTTTTCCCAAATGTGTAACTAGTTTGGAGTAAAATTTTTGGATAGTTTCAGTTCCAAACTCTGCTGAGGGTTATCTGAAGTTATTTTAAAAATAGGGAAAATATTCATAACTTAAGGGTCAATGCATGCATATACTATGTTTATATTTTTATCTTTGCCGAATGTAGCTGTGTTTTTAGTGTTATTTATGTTACCTATTTCAGAATATGATTTTGCTTGTCACATAGCTTTTCTCTACTTTGCCACTGGCATTGCAAACAAAATTCTTTTCATTACAAGAGATGATATTAATACATTCTAAAACTCAAAAAACCTGTATGCATGAAAAATATATATTTCTATTGGTAGAGAGATAAAATGACCCATTTTGCAAGCTGTAGTCCTTACCCAGGGAAGATTTTGGCTCCCAGGATACATTTGACCATGTTTGAAGACATTTTTGATAGTTCCAACTAGGGTATGTTTGTGTGTGCTTGCACCTGAGTTATAAACATCTAGTGGGTAGAGGCCAGGGATGCAGCTATAATAAACAAAGAATTATCTGACCCAAAATGTCAGTAGGGCTGAGGTTGTGAAACTTTTTGTTTATCACATTTTAATTCATATCTCTTGAGTTATATAGATTCATAACCCAAGCTCCAGATAAGAGTTTATTCATTTTATGGATATAATGTAGGTTTTCTTACATACATGAAACAAAGTTTACGTAGACTGTTTCTAGGTTATAAAAGAGTAGCTGGACCTACCTGTCACCATTTCCTTCAGGACAGTGTTGAAGTTCTGTCTATTTTAGGGAAGTGAGAAAAATCCAAGGTGGCCACAAAGGCAAACAAAAAGAAAAGTAGGGAAGCATTTTCTCTATTCTTACAAGCTACTGTCTGTGAAGGATGCAAACAACTTTCTTTCTTTGGTTTGTTTGTTTGTTTATTTATTTATTTATTTTGACATGGTAAGTGTTTGGATACTTGGTGTATACTATTAGGATAGGGTTGATTTTTTGAGGCTGACGGGGAAAGACCCACGTGTGGACAAAGGACTGGACCTTAACTAAAGGGAGTCAGGCCAGGTGTGGTGGCACTCGCCTGTAATCCCAGTGCCTAGGGAGGC